CTATGAACAATGTTAAATAAATGGAAACAGAGTCAAGTATAAAAGCAAATAAAAAAAGTCATAGTAAATAGCTCTATTATGAAACAGATCAGAGCTAGGCATTGATAGCTTATGATGTCATACTAGCTACTCAGGAGCCTGAGATCTGAGGTCCAGAGCTAGCCCAAGCCAGAAAGCCTATGAGACTACAATTAACTACCTAAAAGCCAGAAGTAGCTCAAGTGGCAGAATTCTAGCCTTGAGCACAAAAGGCCAGAGTTCAAACCCTAAGTCTGGCATTAGTGGGCACACACACACACACACACACACACACACACACACACACACACACACCCCTCAAGATCAGATAAAGGTGCATGGGAGTTTTATTGTTTTCCTAGAGTGACTATTTTTCAGAGTAAAAGCATCCCTGTTCAACAACAACTAAAAAAGTGCAATTGTTCTTTTATCTTAGATTTTTCTGGACTGTCTTTCAATAGTGGTGTAAGATTTCAGGCATTCAGTGCTGACAATATTAAAGTAAGGACCTACTTCTCTTTGCTTAATGGGATAATTCCTTCCAGGCACATCAAATTCGGTAACCTTCTCCATGAGGCTAGACTGTAGATGGTGTAACCCCAGCCCTTCATGAGGCTGGCTTGTCTTGCCTCACTTGGAGTGGGGGGATATAGGGAGCCCAAACAGCTCCACATTCCTAGTCACCAGCCCAGAAATTTTCTTAGATGTGACCAAATGCATTGATTCCTTCTTTTAATTTAATATCCAATAGAAGGGTTGCAAGACAGCTGTTTGTAAGTCCTTGGCATCCATGGGTGCATAATTCAAACATCGGTGGTGACCCTGACTTTCTTCTGAAGTCACTGACACGATAGGAATTGACAAGGAAAGGAAAATGGCAAGTGGCATGAAGATGCCAGAAAGGGAAGGAAAAAGGAGAAGCTAGGGGAAGTTCTGCTCTGGCATGGCTAGCCACCCTGAGCCTGGATATTACCCCCTTAAGGGAGCCACAAGAGGGAAATGGTCTTATACATTTACTGTGTAGGTTTTCTGCACTACTGACCAGCATTCAGTATCATCTGTTTGTTACTTACCCATCTCTATTGCTGGGCTCTGTTCTACAAGAGTTAGATAGGAAAAGAGTGCAACTCAAACTTATTGGTGATTTGGGGAAAATACAGATATACATGCCTATGGTCTTTTTCCTGCTGCCATAGCTCTTGCCCTCAAAAGACTCAACCTGGTTTTCCAAGATGATGACAGTAGGGTTGGAGATGCAAATAATGGAAACTAGGCTACTTAGCTGACTGACTTGCAAATTTGAAGATATAATAGCCCAGCCTGCAGTCTCTGATTAGTGTAATGAATCTAGTCTTCTGATGACTCTGAAGGAAAACATATTCCTGAGTGCAAAGAATTGTCAGGTTTTTATTACCTCCTGGAAGCAGGGAGCCTGTGGAGGAGGGTTGAGTCCAAATGAAAAATTCAGCGATGGAGAAAAGTCATTTAAATGGCCTGATACCACTTTAAACACCAACACTCGGAAGATGCAATACATAGCCCCATCATCAACAGAAGAGCCTGAAGTTTTCAGCTCCTTGCTGCCCCATCCTAGGAAGAAGTATGATGTATACATACATACATACATACATACATAATGGACTTTTACTCACTCAGCAGGAAGAATAATATTATATCATTTGCAGGGAAGTGGATGAACTGAAAAAAATATGTCAAATGAAATAACTCAGGCTCAGTGAGACAAAGGACAGTTTTTCCCCTCATATGTTGAAGTTAGATCTAAACTATAAATATATATTAAAACATATACAGGGTCATATGCATATATATACTGACAAATTGGTTAAAGTTTGGTATACACTGGGGAGGATTCCAATGGTGTAACTCCTTTGAACAATGAACTTACAGTTTAATGATAATGAGTGCCAGGAAGCTTTAACATGGTTTGGCAAAGGGGGATAAAGGTAAGGGGAGTAAAGGGAAGATATATAGAGAGAAGAAGGGTGGTCAAGTACAGTCGTAATATTCAATGTACATAAGTGAAAATGGAATCAGGTAACTTGAGGGGATGGGTGGAGTTGGGAGAGATGGGGGAGAATGATGGAAGATGCATTGTACCTAACAATTTGCAACAAATAGAACATTATTAAAGCATGGAAATCCCCAAATGCTGCACTTCTGGCTGCATCTGTGTGTGTGTGTGTGTGTGTGTGTGTGTGTGTGTGTGTGTGTGTGTGTGTATATGTGAGAGAGAGAGAGAGAGAGAGAGAGAGAGTTTACAAGCACATCACTGGGCCGATTCCCCACTTAACCTCTCACAGTCTGTGTTTTCCAGTCTGTCTATCTGGACACTGCTGCTACTTCTCTGGTTTGTTGGAAACCTTTGGTTCTTGGGTTTTCTAGGGAGCAAATGCATGCAAAGGAACTGTTGCTGGGGCCAGCTCATGGAAAGGGAAGGCCATGTTAAAAGCGAGTCTGCAAGTCTGCCAATATGAAGGAAACCCCTTTTCCCATAGTCTAAAGAAGACTCACCAAGAGTCAATGACTTTCAAAAAACCCACTCTTCCCGGAAGAAAGAGAAGTTGGTGCTGTGCTTATGCTGGTGGATTTGTGCCATCCCCATGGACTTGCCAAACTGGGAAAGTCAGCGTTCTCATATCTAAGAAAAGCCACATGGGTAATTGTCATGACCCAAAATGGCAGCCTGAGGGAGCCCGCCAGCAGAACTTCACAGCTGCCTTGAATCTCAGGAAATCCATCTCTATTGTGAGCCTGGCTGGTGAACAGGAAACACCTGTAACATGCCCTCTTCTAAAATCTTGGCCAATTCTTTGCTCAGCTGATGCTTTCCTCAGACATGTCTGAGTGTGTCCACTCAGTGGGCACACACACCCATGGCTCTTTGCCTTTAGACTTCTGTGTAGCTGCTTCTGGTGCATAATGGCCACAGTTATTTCTGTGTGAACAACAGAATTCCTTTCTTTTATGGAGTTATATAGTATTCTGTTATCCATACTTAGATTACATGTCCACCAGAGCTTTTGTGAATAAAGGTGAAGAAAAGTGGTAAACTTGAACATAAATTAATGAATGTCTTCCTGATATGACAGAACAGACTAGAACACACTACTTCAATTAAAAAAAAAAGGACTATTCTAAGAGTCTGAAAATTAGCTCCCATTTTCAATTAACTAGTAGCACTGGTTATTAATTCATGCAACATATATTTATTCTACTTTTTCAGACAGCCAAGGAAACAAGACTTCATTTCCTATGAAAGGATTTTGTCTTGTGGAAGAGAGGCACCTTTTCTTGCCTTGTGGACAGCATCTCCTAGCCCGTGTAATGATACAGGCAGCCAAAGCACAGAGGAAGAGAGGGACCTGCTCAGAGGCCCCATTCTCCTCACCCTGGTCCTCTACTACCTACCATCCTGCCAACCTTCTTTTTACTCCCTCTGGCATCATCCCAGTGCTTCTGGCTGGTCACACGGGCCTTGATAGGACTCACAGAAACAACCCCTGAGCCCAGCTCAGCATTTTGCACCAAGTACAGACTCAAGAAACGCAAGATGGAGCATACCTATAATCCCAGCTACTCCGGAGACTGAGATCTAAGGACCACAACTTAAAACCAGCGGGGGAACACAAATCTTATATCTAATTAATCAGCTGGAAGAGGAACTGTGGCTCTGGTGGTAGAGTGCCAGCCTAGAGGGAAAAGGTCAGGAAGAGTGAGAGCCCTGAGTTGGAAGTCCCAGTACTTACACCAAACCAACAAAACCCAAACCCAAACCCCAAAGAATAAATACAGAAATAACCCTGCTTTCACTGTATTTGTGGTTAGTATAATTTGTGGAGGGGAAGGGAAAAGACAAATCATTTAACTAGGGATACAGGTGGACCCATTGCAACAATAAGATGTACAAGTCGTTATGTCGAAAACAAACTTTACAACTTTGGGGGGGATGGGGGGAGGATCAGGTCGGGGAGGGGGGAGTATGGGAAGGGATGGGAAGGGGAAACAAAGAGGAGGCAACAATGCTTGATAAGAAATGTACTCATTATCTTGCTCATGTAATTGTAACTCCTCTGTATGGTATTCTCACAACAAAAAAAAAAAAAAGGAAAAAAAATACCCCAACAAGCTCATATCCAATTTTGATAGTTGTGTGATGATCTTGGTTTTTTTTTTCCAGTCATGGGGCCTAACTCTGGGCTTGGGCTCTGTCCCTCAGCTCTTCAGCTCAAGGCTAGAGCTCTACTACTTGAGTCACAGAGCCACCTCTGACTTTTTCTGCTTATGTGCTGCTGAGGAATCGAACCCAGGGCCTCATGCATATGAGGCAAACACTCTACCACTGAGCAACCTTCCCAGCCTGATCTTGATTTTCTAGCTAAAAACTTTTCAGCACAGAAAGCATCTCTTCATTGTAACTGAAGTGGGCTGAAGGCTGCAGAGACAATCTTGGACGTAAGAGAGCTTGAACAAAGGTGAGTTTTTCCAGTCTTTTCCCAGTTTACCAGTTCTCGTCCAGGCTGGCCCTGACACTCAGATGTCCTACCCTAAGAACTATCCAGCACAGCAATAGTCAGTTCTCAGAGTAGAGTCAAAGCATTCTCATTGCGAAGCAGAAAGCAGAATTCTGGAACTAGAAAAAAAATGTTGGTGTAATGAGGACTGAAAAAAGCTGGGGTAAGAACAGAACTTACTAAGCACCTCTGCCAACTGCTCGCTATTATAGGCTTGAGCCTGGATGGGAGATTGCTGTAAACCACAAGTGCCTGCAGCTGGCTCCACAGAGCTCATGGCAGAGCTCTGCTTCTGCAGAGAAAAACCTAGATGCTGGGTGGGGCAGACCCCAACATGGATGCAAGTCTTTAATGTACCTCAGGTTCTTGGGTAAGCCCAGCATGGCTGGGTATTATGGGATTGATGTCTATATCTCATACATGGAAGATCACATTGTTCCTCTTGCTCAGATGATGATACTAAACTTATTGTGGCTGGTGACAGCATCTGGAATAGAGGCCAAATATGGCCTGGTTTTGGGAAAGTCAATGAAGCACACATACCAAGTGGTCTCTATTCCAGGTGAGCACAACAGAACTTCCAGATAGAACCTGGCTTACCCTTCACCAGCCAGCAGCTGAATCATGAGACAGTCAGGTGTGGGCAGTGTGCCCTGCACATTGAATGTCCTGGGCACTTAGCAAATAAAATGGAGCGAGCTGTGTCTCTGACTCCCTCAGAAGAGACTTACTTGGTGATTCAGAGCAGAGCATCTCTTTTCTCCTATTAGCCCTGGTTAATGATGTCAGCCCAACTGTGATTCAACAGAGAACTAGACTGGATGAGGAGACACGCTAAGTCAGGCAGGAAGGAAAACACAGCTGTCATGTAGTCATTTGTCATTAACATGGCTCTTTGGCAAAGCCTGACTCTGTCAGGGAAGCCAGCAGGTTGGGAGGAGACATCAGGAAGTATTTGTTTCTAGAAGCTACTAGCCCTTTCTAGAGACTTCCACAGAGTTTTAAGCACTTGTTGCTCCACCTTTCCTTTGGTCAGCCTTTGGATCTCACCAGAGGAATAAATCAGCAATGTCTTCCAATCTATTTCATCCTTCCAAGTCAAAAGGCCAAATTCAGCCACCAACACTCCCCAATAATCTTGTTTCACCTTAATAATACCATTAATGACAATACAGCCCAGCTGCTGCCAGGCTCAGCCTCACTAAAAATAAAGCATAACTCTCATTCCCCGAAATAGATTTGCAGTCTGAAGCTGCTGCATCCCAGATGTATGATTGTGGCTCTTCCTGCTCCGGCACTACCCCTGTATTCCTAATGGGGGCCATTGGTAGGTGACTCCCCCCCGCCCCACCCCGTTCTCAGAGATAATGCTGAGATCTGGTGAGCTGAGAGGGATGTTTGGTTGCTTCCCCGCAGGGTCTCCTTTCACCTGCTGTTGGATTTTACAGTCCACTTACATCCTATCGACACATCAGCATGTTCTGCTGCAACCAGGCACGTTGGCAATCCGGGAGGTGGGTTCCCAGAGGTGCCAGCCGTGCTGCATTAGGCAGTGGGCCAGCAGGTTTCCATCCGAGAAAGCTCTCCATCTCATTAGTTTCTCTCTCTCCAGCAAAGTGCGTGGTCATCTAGGTTACAGCAATCAGGGCAGAATTGCTTGCCATTGCCAGCGATGGAAGACACGCTAGATTTCCGAGACTTTAGACAATGCTGTTCTCTGAATGGTGGCTCACTTAGGGACAGCAAGCAGATTTATCCTGTTCTGCGGGATTGGATCCCCCGCCCCCTTTGCTCTGGAGGGTGAGCTGAGAGATGCTTGCAGGTGTTGGCCTTAGATCATCCGCAGGCTCAAGCTCTTTTCTGAGCTTAGCAGCAAAACATAACAGGCTCTGGGAATAAGCAGAAAATGCATTTTGCTCTGTTATGAATCCTAGTAGGGGCTTTAAAAGTCAAATAGGATCCGAGGCAATAAATTGTTTTATCTGTAAAGTTAACAAACTGAACCTGAGAGTAAGATGCTACAGTGCTCCTTGTGTCCAGCCTGTGTGGATGTTAAGAGATAAATTGCTTTACAAGGCTATTATTGATCCTCCCATCCATTCAATCTTCAGTAGATCATTCGTTTTCTTAATTGGAAGAAAGCTAAGGAACCAAATGGGTAGATGACAATGAGGCTTCACATTTGCACATCAAGTCATTGATTAATTCCTCTGACTGCTTCAGCTCAGATTCATACATGGGGAATCTGCTAACTGCCAGCCACTGTCTTACGGTGGTTGGTCCTTGAATCTTCGTGTATGTGTGTGTGTGTGTGTGTGTGTGTATAGACAGATCATTTCAATACAGTGAATCAATGACAGTGGCATGCCCAAGGAGCTCTGTCAGCCTTAATTCTGGTTTGGAGACATGAAAGAGCCTCCTGAGTGAAGGGAATCCTGAACTGAGTCTAGACTTTATCTATAAAGATTTCCAGTCATGGACTGGAAGGTCATTTTCTGGGAGTGTTCTGTTCTCTCCTACTGGGGATGTGTGCTGCTGGCGGTGTGTGTGTGTGTGTGTGTGTGTGTGTGTGTGTGTGTGTGTGTGCGCGTGTGTGCTGCTGGTGGGCTCTCAGGTTATTTGATTTGGGCAGGCCCCAGACAAAGGTTCCAGAGGCAAGGTAGGGATGGAGGTCATGTGCATCCAAAGCTCTCGTCCACACTGCACACGGCTTCAACCTGGCATAGACTCTGCCTCTTTACAGCTGCGCCAGCTTCATTCTGTTCACAGGTTCACATTCGGTCCCCCTGTAGCAGTCCCTCCTTGTACCCTGCCTTCCAATGATGCTATCACTGAAGGTCACAAGCTATCTTTCAGCAGTGCCTGTTTATATCCTCTCTAGACAAAAGTGACATTTGGCCAAGGAAGGGCCACACCAGGCTGTGCATGCACACCCAGTCTCAAGGCTACATGGAGGGTTGCAAAAGATGGTGCATGTATATATGACTCGAGATTCCAAGTCCTTGGACAGTGCTGGCCCCAAGCCATGTGGATGCTGTGGTGAGAATACCTGACTTACTCCACTACCCCTATATGGTAGAAGACTGCATGCCCCACACCCATCACTCAATAGGACGGAGCTGATCATAGAGGTCTCTAGAGCTAGACTTCCAGAAACTGTGGGATCTGGGGCCTACGGTTTGGAGTTGGGAGAAAACTGCAGGGACAAGGGAAACTCTTCAGAGCCCAGAAAAGTCAGTCCACCAGGATGAGACATCTATATTTCAAGGAGTCCATCTTTTTCCTCATTCCAGCTTTTTTCCACCCTCCATTCATTTATCAGCAGACCCCCTAGTTTGTGTCCATAGCTGTGCTATTGTGAATAGTGATCCAATGATTAGAAAGTGCAGATCTCTTGGAGATTCCAGTTTCATTTCTTTTGGATAAATGCTCTAACATGGCAGTGCTAGATTATGTGGGAGTTCTGGGCTAAGTGGAATAAGCATCATAGAAGGAGCAATATGGTGTGATTCCACTTTATATGAGGAATCTAAAACAGGCAGTCTCACAGAAGCAGCAGCCAAGTCAGGGGAAGGGAAACAGAGCTGTTTAATGGCTAAAAAGTTTCAGTTAAACTTCTAGAGATGATTTGCACCGCATAGCAAAAATACACTGTTGTGTGAAAATGGATATGTCATGTTAACTCTTCCCATATCCCTCTCCCCCCCAAAAAAAGAAGGGAAGAAAAAAGGAATAAAAAGTATATGTAACCTGTTTGAGGTGACAAATCTGTTATTAAATTGTTTTTGTTGATGGTTTCATGAGTACACTCGTAAACCCTAACTCCTAAAGTTGTGTGTAGTATGTGCAGTTGTTTTGTTTGTATATTAAAATAAAAAATAAAAGAAGGAGCCACAGGAATGAATGATCATTCTCCCAGGGGACCCTAATTTCTAAGCAAAGGACCCAGCTGAATGTAGATGAGGGGGTAGAGCCAAGAGCACCACAGGAGGTGGGGCAAAAATCAAAGTCACTAAGCCAATCACAGGTTGTCTTGATGTAGGCCAATAGATTCCTGCTCTGTTAACAGATATGATGGACTTCCTTCTATTTCTTTTTTCTTTTTCTTCCTTCTTTCCCTTTCTTCTTTCTTTCCTCCCTCCTTCTCTTCCTACCTGCCTTCCTTCTTTCCCTCCCTCCCTTCCTCTTTGCCTTCCTCCCTCCCTTCCTCCCTCCCTCCCTTCCTCTCCTTCCATCCTTCCTGCCTTCCTGTCTTCCTGTCTTCCTGTCTTCCTGCCTTCCTGCCTTCTTTCCTTATGCTGTCCTGGGCTTAAACTCCAGGTCTGGGCACTGTCCATGAGGTTTCCTTGTCAAGGATATTGTTCTACCACTTGAGCCTCAGCTCTATTTCCAGATTTTTGGTGGTTAACTGGAGAGTCTCACAGAATTTTCTACGCACCCAAACTGGCTTTGAACTGTGATCCTCAGATCTCAGCATCCTGAATTGGTAGAGTTATAGGCATGAGCCACTGGTGCCCAGCCTTGGACATCTATTTCTTTCTTTCTTTCTTTTTATTATTATTTTTAAATAGTCATACAAAGGAGTTGCCATTAAACAAAGCAGTTTATGAATACAATATATCTAGATCAATCTCACCCCTTTTACCTATCCCTCCTCTCCCCAACCCTTCCCCCACTCTTCTTAATTTTGTAGCATATACACCGGACTCTTCGTCCTCACGTTCTCTCTCCTCTCCTCATTCTTCTCCCCTTGACCCTAACCATCCCTTTCAAGTACCTGTTTCCTGGAGTTTTATTTTTATTGCACTTGACTTTGGCCAAGGAATCCCACTATTTGAGACCTCCCCTGAATCTACTTCTTATTCCCAATTATCTCCAACTTTCACCGCATGTTGAGTCTGCCCCAGTTTCAGTGGGTCACTGTGCCAACCTGGTGGACCTGAAATCCCCACAGAAGTCTAGAGAGGCATCACCAACCCACAGAGGCTTACAACTCCCCTTCCACGTTCTTTCACCCTCCTGCCCATTGAAAACGTCTGGCATGTCTGCTGTGTGGAGCCAGCCCTTCACAATCTGTTGCCATCTCTTCAGCATCACACATACTACTTCTGCTGCCCAGGGTCCTCTCACCTTGGAAAGCTGGGAGTGAGGCAGCCTCTGTCTACAGGGGTTCATCCACCACTTTGCCTGCAACCCCAGCCCTGCTCACCCCTGCAGTCACCAACCACTCCCTAACGGTATTGCCTGGACAAGGAAATTTTGAAGCAAAACCCAGAACAATACCTAAATCTTACATAAGAACCCCTATTACACAGAAAATTCACGCCACCTTGCAGACTAGACAATCCTGGCCCAACCTTCTTTCTGATGCTCAGGACTTTATTAAATAAAAACAGTATGATATTAGGCTGCTTCCTAATAATGTAACGTGGTCTGGCCCTCAGTAAACAAGGATGAGGAGATGTTTGAAGCACAGCTGGCCCTCACCCCCAGGTTCTGCAGTTGCAAAGTCAGACAACTTTGGGACAAAAACACTTGACAAAAAAATAAAATAAAATTTGTGCTGAATATGTCTGTTTTTCTTGTCATTATTCCTTACATGGTAGAGTATAACAATTATTTACAAACTAAGTGCTGAGGGTAATCTAGAGACAATTTAAATATTTAGGGGAGCAAGGCACTGGGGGATCACCCCTGTAACCCTAACTACTCAGGAGACTGAGATCTGGAGGATTATAGTGCAAAGTCAGCCAGAGCAGAAAAGGCTAGAGACTTCATCTCCAAAATAACCAGCAAAAACCAAGTTGGGACATGGTTTAAGTGGCAGAGCACCAGCTAAACAAGCAAGCCAAGCAGAAATGAAGCCCCAAGTCCAAGCCTTGATATAGACAAAAAGGGGGTTGGGGGAAGGTATATAGGAGGATGTGTGCCGGTAACATACAAATAGATGACACTCTGTAGAAGGGTGTTGAGCATCTAAAGATTTTTGTATTTGCAGGGGATTCTGGAACCCCTTCCTGACAGATACTGAGGGATGACTCTGTTTAGCATGGAAGCCGTTAAAATCTCTGTATGATAGACTGAATTGTTTGGCTTGGTCAAAATGTGATTTTAATCCCATTGCCAAACACCATTTTCTATTGTGCTAAGGAAAATTCTACATGGTGAAACCAGAACAATATGGATTCCTTTCCATTGATGCCCATATGGAACCCAGTGGTCTCCCTCACTTCCCAGTATGCAGAAAGGTTATGTCATACTATCAGGTGTTCCTTAACACATCCCAAAATGTGATGCTGTTATCAGGCATTCATGTCTGAGACCCAGTCTATTAGAAAAGCACCACATTATAACCAAGAAAGTACATGATTATAAATCATGTTGTTTTACACAGAACTCTCCTGTTAAATTTTCACATCAGCCATAGGCACAATACTTCTTTCTTCCTCCATTAGGCTATGAGGAGAACATTCTTGCCTTCTAGCAGTGATGGGCTACCTACCCTGGAAGCTATTAGAGCTTTGTAGATACCATTCCCCAAAGTGCTATAAAAATAGTAAAGGTAGTCAATGGTGATTGATTAATTTCAAGACATAAATAATGGTTGTAATTGCAATTTAAAGAGGAATGTGTTTTGCTGTGATTAATCTGACCCTCTGAGCCACCATCACAGAGGCACATTAGAATGCTAATAAGCATGTGAATACAGAGGAGACCAGGCAGTGGGCCAGGTGCCCAGCCACACCTGTCTCCCCCAGTGGCAACCTCTGCTCTCCCAACAGTCCCTTGAAACCTGCTCCAGCTATAGCAAAGGTCATATCGCATCTACTCCACCACTCTCCCAGAGCCTTTAGACAAATACCCATCTGAGCACTAGAGATGTATCCTGGCTGCTGCAGTGAACACTACCCTGGGAAACGTTAAAACATCTAAGCTACTCAGGAGTGTGAGATTTGAAGATCATAGTTTAAAGCCAGTCAAGAGAGGGGAGTCTATGAGACTCTTACCTCCAATTAACTACTAAAAAAGCTAGAAGTGGAGCTGTGGCTCAAGCAGTAGAGCACCAGTCTTGAGCAGAAAAAGCTATGGGACAGTCCCCATTATCCCCATTTATAGATTACTAGGCAAAGTCACGGAGGCTAATGATATCCCCAAGCAGCCAGCCAGGTAAGAGGCAATACACAGGGAATGCTTTCCTCCAAACTGAACATTCCAGCTTGTTTTCCTCCCTGAACTACTGAGAGTGGTTCTGAAAGAGCTCTGCTCCATCTTCCTTCTTCCTGATCATCCTGGGGTTCCTTGGTCTCTCTCTCTCTCTCTCTCTCCCCCTCCCTCACCCCTCCACTAGCCCCACCTGTCCCAGCCAAGCCTACAGAGGGAGCTTCCCCTAACCCCCACTTCTTATTAGTCACTGAGATTGCAGGAGATTCTGAGTTCCTTTTCTGTTATAGGTACTGATGTCTGCAAGGCTTTGTGACAGTGTCTAGGAGGTTGAGCCAGGAGGTAAGCTCTTCTGACTGTGCTCCTGCTTGGAATCATAGCCATGCTTCTGCTCTCTGAGCCAAAATGCACAGCTGCAGAAGGAAATCTGCCACGCGGGTGGCTTTCTACCTGCTCACTCAGCTTCTTGCCAAGTCTGCTCAAAGAGCGTTCCTTCCCCTGGTGCAGTGCTGACTACGCCAATCCATACCCCTAGCCAAGTATTATATGAAGGGAATACATCCTCCAATGATAACATTCTGAAATCCACTGGGAAGAAAGGGTCTGGCGAAGAGGAAAGTTGGGGGTTCTAGTCTACACAGAAGTATATTCTGGCTACTTAGGCTGGTCAACAGGCAGGACCAAAGGGATGTCAGTCCTGGAGAAACATTACAGAATCCT